TTCCCGTCCAGGAGTGGGACAGCTTCTAAGAGGCTGAGGTGTTCCTCGCACTGAGGCTGGGCTCACCACACTGCCCTTCGCCTGCTGTCCTCCTCCTGGGGTCAGGACACTTTCCAGGGCACACATCTCACTCACCAGAGTCAGCCTCTGGGGTGCAGGGGTGCTGGTCCCATCCCGACTGCACAATCTAGAAATGATGCAGTACTCTGTCTCTGATAAACCGAGCCAGAAATCGTGCCCTGTCTCCAAGCCCCATGGCAGTGACGGCTTGCACGGTCCTGCCCTTGCAGCTCAGCTGTTCAGGCCTCCTGGGGACACTGCAGTTTCCATGGAAACAAGAGAGAGCACCAACCCCCAGAGATAAGCCAATAAACACCACCTCCGAAAGGAGAGAACAGGCAGCAAGAGAAGCGGAGGGAATCGGGGGGCCCTGGAGCAGAACTGGAGAGGCTGCAGGCCGTGGGCCCGAGGAAAGGGAGGGCCTTGGGGGGGGCTACTGCCCCTGGCAGAGAGAAAGGAGGTCTCTGGAGGTCAGAGAGAGACACAAACAGAGTAGACAGAGCAAGGGTCAATGAGGAGAGCGGAGCGCTGGTACCTGGGCTGCTTGGGGTAGGGGACGTGGGCACTCAGGACCCTGGCACTCCCTGCCCCACCCCCCACCCCCCACCCCCAGGATGCCTGTGTCAGTGTTCTCCTTGCACTTCCAGGCAGGGACCAGGCCCTGGACTTCCTGCCACTTGCCTGGGAGGCTGTGCTGCATTTCAGAGGGTTTCCAATAGCCATCCAGAGCAGAAGCAACATGCAGGGAAGATGAGTTGGAGCAGGGACCCCAGGCTCCACCGTGACATACTCTCAGCCCTAGTTAGGACACTCGAGAGTGAGGAAGCCCTTCAGGCCTCTGCACTCTGGCAGGAGTTCCGTGTGTTTCAGGGCAGCCAGGAGGCGCCACGCTCATCCTGTGATCCTGAGAGGGAAGCTGGCCAGGCCGCTGGCAGGACCTGGGATGCAGGTGAGGGAGTGGCAGAAAGGCCTCTACCTGCACTGCTCCCTGAGCACTTCCCTTGAGGCTGTAATGCCACAGGACAAGGACCAAAGCCGTTTTCATTCCCGTGTTTGTGGAATGAAGACATGACTGAAGAGGCGGAGGCAGAGCCTGCGTGGACCACTCTGGGCACCCACTCTGCGTCCACTTGAGCTGGACATGCATTCCCAAGGATAGCAACGAAGCCAGGGACTGGAGCCCCTGGATGGGCCCCGCCGGTCCCAGGAAACGGCAGGCAGGCCTGGCCACTGGGGGCCAAGCCGCGCTGTGCCGCGCCTGCCCCCCTCCCGCCCGCCGCGCCCGGCCCAGCTCTGACCTCGGGTCTCAGACACGCTCGCCGCGGGCAGAGAAACGGCCGCAGGGTCCTGGGGCTCGCTCGCCAGCCTCTGCCCGGCGCACATGGACTTGAGCATCTGGAACACGGCAAGGGGAGCCACGTTCAGCTTGAGCAGGTCCACCAAGATCCTGGCGAGAACAAACGCGCGCAGTGAGCCCTCCGCGCCGCGGACCAGGCCTCCCTGAGGACCCGACTAGGGCGGCAGGCTCTTCCAGACCCGCGGGCCCGGGCGGGGGTCCGGGGCCCGACGAGCGCGACGCCCCCGACCCGCGCCCGCTCACTTGAACACGTCGGGGTCGATGGCGCCGCCCGCCGCCTGCGCCAGTTCGTACAGCTCCATCTCCTCGGCGCTCAGCACCTTCTTGCGCCGCAGCGCGAGCTTCTGCCGGGTCGCCTCCAGCCCCGGGGGCGCCCCCGGCCCAGACCCGGCGCCCGCTGCCGCCATCCGCGCGCCCCGGGCGCTCCCACAGCGCCCCCCACCGGTCCCGGCGCCGTGTCCACGCCGTCATCCGACCCCCTGACGTTTACTGAGCGCCCACCGTGCGCTAGGCGGCGTGCTGGGCGTCGCGGGCGCCGTGGCGGACGCAGAGGCCCGCTGCTCGGCGGTCAGGGCTTCCCTCATGGGCTGCACTGGTCGTGCTGGCTTAGGGAGCAGCACCCAGCGCAGTGCCAGGCACACACCAGGCACTCCATAAATAGCCGCCGAAGACAGGCGCTCACCGCAATACCGCTGTGTTCTGCGCCGTTTCGCCACCAGGGGGCACTCATCGAGGGCCCTAGGCAACAGCTTCCGCTTTTGCGTACGCGCACTCTTCGCCGTGGATTAAGTACGTGAGCACAGCCATACGGGGCGCGGATGCCGCCAGTACGCACGCGCATTAAGCGACGGACCATTGGCCTCACCCCCAACCCCCGGCCGCCCTTCGCTTGGCGCACGCGCTTTTGAGGTAGCATCGCAAAGAGGTAGGGAGCTTTTCCCGCCGGGCCAGAGGGCGTGACGCCAGACGCAGCTTGATGACGACATTTCGGCGCCGCTGGCCAAATGGCAGTTTCCGTCCCTCAGGCGGCCGGCGCTATGGGTGCCTCAAGTGAGAAGCGGCCTCCGCGAGCCCCGGAACTCGGGCCGGACCCTGGCCCCTCTGCCCTGGCCGGGCGGCGGGGGACCTGAGAGTCCCGGCTGAGCCCTCTCGCAACCCTCCCAGGCTGCGCCTCTATCTCACCTTCCCGCCCAGCTCGCTGGCCCGTCCGGTACGAGCTCGGTTAACGTTCGCTGAGCGAGTCGAGGGAAGGACAGCGCCGAGTTAAGGTCGAGCTTTAGGCTTAACAAGCGGCGCGGAAGAGGCGGGTGGGAGTCCTGGCTCGACTTCGCCCCCTGTGTGGCCAGGCTTCTCTGAGCCTCAGTTTCCTCATCTGCACTAGGGGCTCCCGACAGCCATTAAACAAGACAATTATGAGTGACAGCCGGGCATGCTGCTGTTTCTCACGGAGCAGCCAGAGGCAGGCCCCGGCGGTGACACCGTTTCCTCGGCATGATCGGTGTTGCCTGAGGGCCACGGTTCCCAGAGGAAACCTTAGGGTCCGGAGCAGCTCCTGAAGAAAGAAGCTGTTGAAGGAAGGGGATGGAAGGGACGCTTGGTGCACAGCCCGGGGAGGGGTGTGATGGGGGAGTGTCGCCGTGGCAGGGTCAGAGGGGTGTGGAGACACTGCCCTCTCTCAGAAACCCCAGTTAGACGCCTCTGGGCCTCACTGGGCCGCTGCCTGTGGAAGCTCCCTTCGAGCAAAGAGATGCTTTTGCTCCATCGCTCTAAAGCCCCGCCCTCACCAAACAGTCCACGATGTTATGCTGCTTTGAGCATTTTGCGGTGTTTTCTTCATTAGGTCGGTCAGAAATGAGGTGTTTTATTTAAGTTTTCCTTAAAACTGGGAGATGTTCCTATTGTCAATTAGCAGAGATTCTCGTCTCCTCTCAACCCCCTCGACTACCTGTACAAGGCCTCTGTACCCCAGCCTCTCTGCTCTGCCTCCACCCAGGCTGCCGGGTGCCACCTCAGCACCTTTACTGGTGCAGTTGGGCAGGGCTGAGTAACATAGTAAGCCCCTATCTTAAAAAAAAAAGAAAGTTTAGCCAGGTGTGGTGTCCACACTAAACATGGGAATTGGCAGTGCAGTGTGTGTCGAGTTACACAAACGTTCTCCTGGGCATTGTGAAACTACATATGCTCTTGTGTGGCAGATGTTGAGATTTCATCTTTGTTTTTCCACAGAGGTTTGCTAAGGTGGCCATTCTCGATGCTCCACTGGAGGCTGCTATGGCGTTCCCTCATCTGCAGCAACCCAGCTTCCTGTTGGTAAATATCAGCTGCATGCATGAGTGTCAGCGTGACAACAGTTGCATAGCTGAGGGCCTTGAGAATTGTCTCCACTGATTTGGATAACTGTCTGGTGGTTGTTTTGAGGGGTGTGTGATGGAAATAATGCCAGAGTTGGGGTTAGAATCCTTCAGCTTGACTTTGCCTCCTTATTACTGCGGGACCTTGGGTTTATTCACTCTCTGAGCTCTAGTTTTCTCATTTGTAAGACAAGTTGAGTCAAGTGCTATTGTCCCTACTCCCCAGGGTATGACGAAGAGAAGTAAGGGAAAAGGATGTGTGTTCCTGCCTTGTAAACTCTTATGCAGATATGGAGTATTCTAATAATTAATAATCATATCTGTTATCACTGAAAAATAGAGGGGCACTGCTCTGCTGGGGTGGCTAGGACTGCACTTTAAATGTTAACATGCTGAGAAGTTAGGTGTGAGGCAAGTGTCTGAGATGAAGGTTCCCAATTTCAGTTCCCAGAAGATGCTTTTTGTGAACATTCATTTGGAGGAACATTCTTTCTGGCTGTGCCCCACTATAGCCATAGGTCTGACCTGTGGCCTGATAGCTCAGGTCTCTGTTTCTTACTCAGGCCCTGTGAAATCCACCCTCCGTTGGAGGTAAGCAAGGTCTTAGATATCCTTGGGAAAGGCCTGCAGGTGGAAATTTGGGTATTTCCTCCTGATCTTAATCTGTTTGCACAGAGACTTCTTTTCTCCTTGTGGTCAGGGTGCTTTACCCACATCCCATGACCTCAGGCAGGTTTCCTTACTCCTTGTCCTGAATGTCGTCCGGCCTGTCCGTTGCCTTTATGACTAGTGCCCACTTGGCTGAAGCCATCTGTCATTTGAGCTGCCCTGTGTTTCGGGTGATGAGTTCAGAAGGTTCACTACTGATTAAAGCACAGCTTGGTCAAGACAGCTTCTGCTGTGCCCTCGTTTTGATGGACATTCTCACTGACGACCATGGCTGCGTAATTGTGGGTAGTCAGTCAGGTGGGAACTTGCCAGTTGACACGCACAAACCCAGCGAGCTCGCCGTGGTCTGTGAGAGGCACCTTCTGCTGGCTGGGGCTCACTCCCTGCTTGTGGATCAGCGAAAGTCAGTTTTTTGTTCTGCTGATGTGCAGCGCTCCGAGGTAACTGGCTGCCTGCGGAAGGGTACGGGGAAGCCAGCCTGAGCACTGCGGCTCTAGCGAGCACAGAACCACAGCCTCTCTTCTAGCAGTATCCTTTGGGCCACTGTTACAGGCACGACCCCATGTGTGAGGTGCTAGGGACAAGCCAATGGTTTTATGTGTGAGTGACACACATCACTTGAATTTCTGTTTTGACTCGAGCCAAAATACCACCAAAAGCTGCAGAGCGAATACGCTCATGGTTTTTTCACTTTGTTCTGTCTTCCAGGCCAGCCTGTAAGCTCACTGTATAAATAAGCCCTTTGCACAGCGGTGCCAAGACTTGGTTAAAGTCATTGAGGATTTTCCAGCAAAGGTACAGGTCTGCTGGGGTCTGGGGTCTCTCTTTGGGGCATGTCTTTCCTGGAAAGACTGTCATAGTCACTGGTTCCCTCCTCTGAGGCACAGAGGCCTGACCTCTGTGATATCGTGACTCATGGTGACGGACATGTTTAACTATGCGATTCTGGACCGCCGGTGCTTCTGTCCCTTGGGGACACTTGGCAATGTCTGAGACATTTTTGGTTGTCACCAGCGGGGGCAAATGGGACATATGCTCCTGGCCTCTAGTGAGCAGAGGCCAAGGATGCTGGAAACATCCGCAACGCACACGACAGCCCCCTGCAACAAAGAAATAATCCAGCCCAAAATGTCAGTAGCACCAAAGTTGAGAGGCCCTAATGCAAAAACTGAAAATATGTGTTTAAATCACACCTGGAAGCGTCAATCCCAGGAAGCTGGCCTGGACCAAGAGTTAATACCAAATGGCAGCCGATCAGTTATGTTTCAGGGGCTTCACTCTGAGAAAGGATGTTGCCACCCTTTTTAATAGCACTCTCTTTAGTTTAGAAATTTCTGACATTTTAAAAAGTCTTTTAATTACAGGCTGACTGATATAACTGGCCCAAGTCTAAAGCGGTGGTGCTGGGTATACCATGCGACCCCAGCAGAAGAATCCAAAGCTACTCTTCTCATTGGCATGCTGTACCGGGGTTCCTGTGGGTGCAGGGCTGTCCCTGTGGATCTCTGCCAGGGTGGTGTGACCTTCTCAGAGGGAGCAGGTAGGGCAGAGTGCAGGACTTGAGCCGGGGCAGGATTGGGCACCTGCCCACAGCCTCACTGTTTCAGGAGCTGCACACCATCTTCCTGTGGCTGGTGGAGAGCATTTTTGGCAGCCTGGATGGCATTCTCGTTGGCTGGAACCTCTGCTGCCTACAGGGACGGGTGAACCCTGTGGAGTACAGCATCACCATGGAATTTCTAGATCCTGGGTAGGTAGGTTTGTCACCTTAGAAGGACTAGGTGCTTCCTCAGGTGCTCTCGTTTTTAAATCAGTCTGTTTCTTAAGAAACAATCAAAAGATGGGTGTGGTGGCTCGCGCCTATAATCCTGGCACTTTGAGAGATTGGGCAGGAGGATTGCTTGAGGGCAGGAGTTTAAGACCAGTCTGGGCAACATAGCGAGACCCCCATCTCTACAAAAAAATTTTAAAAGATTAGCCACGCATGGTGGTATGTGCCTGTAGTCCCGGCTACCTGGGAGGCTAAGGCAGGAGGATCACTTGAGCTGAAGAATTTGAGGTTGCAATGAAGTATGATTGAACCATCATACTCTAGCCTGGGCTACAGAGCAAGACCCAAGTCTAAAGCAGTTTGTGGTTCATTTGCCCTTTTTTTGTTTGTTTATTTAATTTCATATTCAGTGGCCCAATTTTGAAATTGGTTTATAAACTTCAAGCTGAAGACTATAAGTTTGACTTTCCCATCTCCTATCTGCCTATAAGTAAACCGTGGTTTTGAGAGTAGCACTTGGGACAGCTGGTCCTACATAGTGGTCATGGTGGTGGGCAGACAGGGGCTCAGAGGGCTGGGAGGGCCTGTGACAGTGGGCAGAGGAGAATGCCACGGTGGCTATTCAGGGTCCAGGAGGCACCACAACAACAGGAGAACTACAACAGCTACTGATTTTTAAAGATCATCCCAAGCTCTGCCCATGGAGAACTGCCGTGCTGCCTGGTGTGCTCCTGGCTGAGGGTCACGTGGGGCCACGTGACCAGGTACTTTGCTCTTCTGAGTCTCCCGTCTTCCGGGGGCAAATTGCAGAGTGCTTTGCTCGGGGTACGGGAGGCAACGGAGATGGGGCTCAAAAGATCAGTTCGAGTATTATATATTCTTCTTAGCCCTGAGCCTCATCACTTAGAAAGTACAGAAGGGTCACCTCTGAGTGCAGTTGGCTGCTCCAGAGCCTGCTGGGAGGAGCGTGGCTGAGGCCCAGGTCTCCCCTGAGCTTGTGGGGCTCTTGGCATCTGGGCAGGGCCCAGAGCCCACACTGACAACAAGCTTGGTTTTCCAGCCACTCCCTGTGTCCCTCCACGTCCGTACTTCAGACTGTGCCTATTTCATCCTGGTGGACAGGTACCTGTCGTGGTTCCTGCCCACCGAAGGCAGTGTGCCCCCCCCACTTTCCTCCAGCCCAGGGGGGGCTAGCGCCTCACCAGCTCCCAGATAAGGCTGCCCTGGCCATTAAGGGAGTGGTCTGGTCAGTGACATCACCCATGGGGACAGTGGTGCCACCCTTTTCCAAGGTTCCCCAATTGTTCTTATGCCTCACTCCCCAACCCCAGCGGTGCAAGCACAGATTTGAGGACGGGGTGAGGGGGCGTCTGTGTTTTAGTTCTTTGTGTCTGTGGCTGTCACTGAAGCTGTCGGGTCTCTGGCTTCCTTGAGGCCTCACTCTAGTGTGGGAACAGGCTTCTATTTTGCTCTGAGGAGCCCTCCCCGCAGGTGGTGTCTCAGCTCAGCCCCACACTGAGCGGTGGGCAGGGCAGAAGGGTTGTCTGGACGAAATAGAATGGTAGGAATCTGTGTGGGCCCCTGGGCCAGATCTTGGCCTGAATGCGAGGCCCTGGGCTGAAGAGCTTTCTGTGCCAGGCCAAGCAGCCTGAGCCTGACACTGTGGGGTACCGGGACAGGGGGTGACACTGGGGGCCTCCTGCCTGGCTACTCTGGGGCCTTGGGGGGCCCTTACTGGAGGCCTCTTGGCCCACTCCCCAGGAGACCCTCCTGCCTTGGCGGCAGCTGCCTGTGCTCTTCTGACCCTCCTGAACCTCATGGCCTATCTCCTTCCGCGGGGGGCTGCATGCTGGCGCGTCCCTGAAGACGCTGCTCACTGACCTCTGCTGGCATGTGCAGGCCAGGCCCTTACCCAGAACTCACACGAGTCGGGTAGCTAAATTCTGCCTTTGAGAGGACGGGAACCTGCCCCACCTCTAAGTCCTGCTTCTTGTCCACAGCCTCACCAATCTGTCAGGGTCACTGGCCACTGCTGCCACCTGGGCAACCTCTCTTTCCCCCATAACCCCCACCCCCACCTTGCTCTCCACACTCTGAGGACATCTGTTAAATATGTTTTTTTCCCTGGTCCATGTGAGTAAGTTACAGGACCCCAGCCTCTTAATTGCATTCCTCCTACGCTTATTAGTGGGCACTCTATGATAAGGAAGACTTTTCTCTTCCCCATTTATTTATTTAAATATTATCAGTAGGGACTTGACGATTGTCGTGTAAGTAACAGGTTATAATTCATGACTGCTCTTGTTGATTTTGTTGTTCACGTTGCCCCTGGCTTGGCCAGCGGGAGCCCTGACTCGGGCCTGTTTCCGTGTCTCCCTCAGGACCCCAGCCATGTCCTTTGCTTCCTACGGCCTCCACGACACCAGCCTCCTGAAGCGACACATCTCCCATCAGACGTCTGTGAATGCAGACCCCGCCTCCCATGAGATCTGGAGGTCAGAAACTCTGCTCCAGGTGAGCACAGAGGACACTGGTCTCTGCTTGTTTCAGAGTGAACTGCTCAGCCACCATCCACCATGTGGGCAGAGTCCCAGAGATGGCCCCTCAGCCTGGGGAGGTTTCCAAACTGTTGGTGTTTTCCTGCTGTGACGTTTAGAGAACAGATGAGAAGAAATGTCATTGACAATGTTTTTCATCCCAGGACTCCTGTCCTTGGGAGTTTTGTTTGGTTTTGCCCGTGGTGACATAATTGTTGCAGAGTCTTTCAGTTTCCAGTGGATGTGTGTAAATGTTGTCCCCACTGCACCCTGCCCCTCTGACTTCCTTCCTTGTCATTCGAGATGTGTCATGTGCTCACTGTCGTGTGGGTAGCGAGCCCTGCCTCAGCAGCATTTTCATCATGCTGGATGGTGAGGGGCCTGTGACACCTCCCCCTTGGTTGGCAGGGAGCCCCCATGTCAGGGGATCCAAATGGGAGGTGGCAGAGACCCTTGTTTGCCCTTGTGGGCTCTGGCCTCTCACACAGGCGTGGGCTGGCTCACTCACTGAGCAGTCCTGCCTTTCTGAGCCACCTCCCAGGCCCTGGTTTGTCTTCTGAGCACACATTGGAGATTCAGCTGGTTTTGACCTGGATCCTGGGGCTGACTTGGTAGCCACAGCATCGCTGGGGAGAGCATGGAACGTGGATCGCATGGGGTTCTTCCTCTCCCACCTCCTTCATGACTCCTAGTGTGTAGGGTGCTGTGCTTTTTGAAACCTCCATGTTGTTTTCACAGCAGCCTTGGGACACCAGACTGGTAGGAATCATCACCTCTGTTCACAGGGGACCGTGGTGGCTCAGGCAGCTCCCGGCTGCAGTGGGCTCAGGGTTGTGTCAGCCTGTGAGGAAGGCAGGTGACCAAGACACAGACTTGTATGGAAGAATTGGAAGTTTCTGTTTCCTGGGCCAATTTTAATTGTAAAACATATATAACGTGGTATTTATCATCTTAAGCATTTAAGAGTGTGCAGTAGTGTTAAGTACATTCACATTGCTGTGTGTCTAATCACCAAAATGCTTTATTTTGTGAAGTTGAAACTGTACCCATTGAACAACAACTCTCCATTCCCCCCACCCTGACCCCTGGCACCCACTGTTCTACTTTCTCTTCCTATGAATTTGACTACTTCAGGTGCTTGTATGTAGAGTTTTATTTAGGCTGCAGAGTATTTATTTTTGTGTCAATAGCTTATTTCACTTTAGCATAATGTCCTGAAGGTTCAACATACCACATTCTGTTTATTTATTCACCTGCTAGTGGTCACTTGGGTCGCCTCCACTTTCCAGTGTTGTAACTAACACTGCCTATGGGTGTACAAATATCTAGAGATCCAGCCTTGAGTTCTTCTTGGTATACACTTAGAAGTGGGGTTGCCGGATCATATGGTAATTCTATGTTCAATTTTTTGAGTGAGCACCATAGTGTTTTCTATAGTGGCTGCACCATTTTACATTCCCACCAGCAGTGCACAAGTGTTCCAGCTTCTCCACTTCCTTACCAACACTGGTTATTTTCTGTTATTTTTCTTTATCATAGCCACCCTAGTGGGTGTGAAATGATACCTTGTTGTTTTGATTTGCCTTTCTGTAATGATTAGTGATGTTGAGCATCGTTTCATGTGCTTGTGGTCCATTCGTATGTCTCCTTTGGAAAAACGTCTATTCAGGTCCTTTGCCCAGTTTTCAATCAGATTGTTTGTGTTCTTATTTTTGAGTGTTAGGAGTTCTCTATGTATTCTGGATATTGCTGCCTTATCAGATACATGATTTGCATGTATTTTCTCCCATTCTGTGGGTTGCCTTTTCACTCTGTCAGTAGTGTCTTTTGGTACACAAGAGTTTTGATTTTGATGAAGTCCAATTCTCTATTTTTTTTTCTTTTGTTACCTGTCGTTTCGGTGTCATAGCTGAGAAAGCATTGCCAAATTCAATGTCATGAAGCCTTTCTCCCATGTTTTGTAAGAGTTTATGGTTTTGGCTCTTACATAGGTTGCTGATGCATTTTGAATTAATTTTTATATATAGCGTGAGTTAAGGGTCCATCTTCATTGTTTTGCATGTGGATATCCTGTTTTCCCCGCACCATTTGTTGGAGAGACTGTCCTTTCCCTGTTGAATGGTCTTGGCACTGTTGTCAGGAAGATTTGACCAGCTAATGCTCTTTTGCAGGATTTTGTTGAAATGTGGCTTCATCATTATTCTTTGGAGTTGTACCAAAAAATGCAGTCCCCTCATGCCAAGGTATGTTTCCACAGATTTTTTTCCCATCTCTGCCTGTGGCCCTGGTCCTCCTGCTACTTCTTGTCCTCAACCTGAGTCAGTTTTCACAGGCTGGATGGTGGGAGCAGAGTCCCAGCATCCACCCCTCAGATGCCAAACAAAAGGTGAGTGTTGTTCTCCAGTTCTGGGGGGCCTTGCGCCCTGACAGGTGCGCACTTGAGGGGCCTTGAGGTCTGTCATTTCAGGGATCCTCCCTGTGTGGCTTCCAGAGCTCTCTCCCTGGCAGTGGGAACGCATGAGGTTGTGGTGCTCTTGCTGTGGAAGCAGGGGAGCTGCAGGTGCTTCTGTGAGTCACGGTCCAGTCAGTCCCCTGTACCACCAGCGGCACCTTTGTGCTTTCCATTGAGGTGGCCGCCCCGGGCAGCCCCTATCTACCATGGTGATCTCGAGCCTCCTTTGCTGCCCATGCTCCTCCAGAGCCGTTTTTGTGGTGGGTTGGGCCCAGTGCCCGCCTGCATGCAGCCTGCCTTCCCTTTCCTTGCTCTCCCAACCTGGGCAGTACGCTCATTTGCAAAGGTGTGGAGGTGGCAGAGTCCCTGGAATTGTGCTGGTGTCACTATCCCTGGGGCCAGCACCCCAGTGCACTAATCAGAGTAAAATGGTGGCAGGGCGTGCTTAGATCCATGGTTAGACCCACACTCCCTGCAGTAGCTTGAGCTGCCAGACAAAATTCTTGAGGGCGTCCTTTGGAATGAAGAATCCATGGGTGATGAGTTTAAATTGAGAAGGGCGTCCTGTACGGTTTCATCTGATTGTGGGGAGAAGCTGTGGGTCTGCTCCCGCTGCAGAGTCTCTGCAGCCAGTTCTGTAGCTCTGTGCTCTGCTATGTGGATGCTTGGGGTATGGCCCCCCACCACTGCTCTCTCAGAGCACAGGGTACCCCAAATCTCCATCCTGGGCCTCTTGAGTCACAAAGAGCCTGCATTACTCTCCTTGCTCTCAGCAGACTTGCTGCATGTTCCTGGCTGGTACCTGTGGAGGCAGACACTGGGTGTCCCCGTGGTTGGTTCCCAGGGCCCTGCTTCTACCCTGGGCCTGGGATGCTTGCTCAGCCCTGTGCATGGGGCTCAGCCTTACATGGGCAGGGGCCACTCTGCTGCGTTGTCTTCCTGTCTGTTCATCCTGTCTTCTGAGCGAGTTGGAACACACCTACTTTCAAGGGCCAACCAGGAAAGCCCTTCTGGGGGTCTGGCAGGGAGGAAGGCTGTGAGCGGAGATGCCTTCCTGCTCTCCTCCCTCCTGCCCCATCCTGTTCTGTGTCTCCTTGGCATCTGGCAAGTGCGTTCTGACCTTCCTTGTGTGAAGCCCAGTGGGTGTGCTGCTCAGCCAGGAGGGCAGCATGTGCGCTGGGCCAGCTCTGAGTTGAGCTTGGCTAAGGGTGCTTCTGCAGGCCTCCACACGGCAGGGAGCTAGGGGGTGGGGCTGGGGGCCAGACAGCATGCCAGCTGCGTTGTCTCCCTGTGTCCTGGGCTGTCCCGGCCTCAGGGTTCCTGCTGCCTCTGGGTGTATGTGCCGGATTCTCAGAGGCTCCTGCCCTGCGGAGCCAGGTGCATCTGGAGGGCAGGGGATCCTGGTGAGGTAGGAGAAGCTCTTCCCTCAGTTAGAACCGGGGAGCACAGCGCCTCCACTGATTGCCAGAACGCAGGGTGTGGGAGGTGGAGGGGGCCTGGCCGGCGAGCCTGCACTTGCTGTCTCTGCTGCCCTCGGGAGCCTATCCCATCGTCTCAGTTCTCAGAGCCATTCACAGAGGGGACACTAATTGGGTTTTACACACATAGAAATTGATCTGTCCCATGCCGATTTGGTCGATTTCTCAAGATAATCTAGGGAAATCCAATGAATTAAATATTTTTCTTTTCTGGGCAGAGTCCTCCTTCTGTAGTATGCTTCCCTAAAATTTCTTTTCTGAGCCTAATGGCCTTCAGGGCCTTGGTGGCTGGTAGAGTGTCCCAGGCCCCGGACTCCTGGTGTGCTGTGGGGCGCATGTCCCACACAGGATATGGTCCCAGGGTTGGCCAGGAGGGTGGCTCCCTCCTGGAAGCGCAGCGAGTTGGGCCAACCTCGTGAAATGGGAGAGGCCTTTAGGGCCAAGTGACATTGAGGGGCCTCCAGGTGATCTTGAGGGTCTGTCTGTCCTTCGGCCTACAAGGCCATGGCTTTGCCTGCCCAAGGCCCCATCTGGGCCTCCGACAGGGGTGGTGGTGTGCTGGCCTGAGGCTGCCGGGGCTCTCATTATTTGGGTTGTCACTGACCGTGCTTTCGTTTTTGTCTTCTGTTTTTTGTTTCTTTTCCTTACTTCTGGGCTGTTCTCACTGTTCTCTTTCTCTCCCCACTTCCCCTCCCTGTCCTGTCGTCTTTCCCCTTCCCCACCCATCCTCTTGTCCTCTGCTCTCCCTTTTCTCTGGCGTCTCTGTCCTGTTGTCTCAGCTGGAAGTTCTGCACTACCGGCTCAGTGTCTCCAGCGCCCTCCACAGCCCTGTGCAGCCCAGCCTCCAGGCCCTCCACGCCTACCAAGTACTGGCTGCTCTCGTTTTGTTCCCTTGCCCCTGCCGGGGTGGAAACTACAGAGCGTGCGTCAGCACAGTGGCCGGGCGAGGGTCTGGCCAGGGCCAGCTGCGGGTGATTCCGAGGGCTAGCTCCAAGTCCAGCGAAGCCCGTGTGCTGGTAGCAGCCTCAGATTTAGGGACTCACCTGGTCTGTGGCTGTGTGATGGAGCAAGGTGCACATGGCCCTGGCTGGCCAGTCCTTCAGCCAGTGGAGGTGTCACAAGTTCTCTGGTGTTGGAGGGCGCCATGCTTGGCCCCAGATTGAGGAAACTAAAATAGTCACTGGCCTGGCTCAACCCGAGGGGCAGGGCCTGGTACTCAGGAAGTGGCCGAGGATGCTGAGGCCCAGGGACTTATGGGTGGTGTGGGGTCTGCCCCATACGGAGCAGCCCCAGCCTGCACGTGAGGCAGGGGGTTGGAGAACACTGGGGCTGAGCCCCACAGGCCCCAGAGGCTGCCAGCCCTTTACAGTCCAGTTGGGCTGGCCTTTGCCAGTGTAGCCCTGGCCACTCACTCGTAGACTCCTCAAACCATCAGTCGCCCTTCTTCACCACCACAAAGCAGAGTGGCGGCCACTTCCTCTTCATCTCCCGCTCATTCCTCCTGGCCGCCCCACCAACCCCAGGCTGCCTTTGCACCTGGTGTGGCCACTGATGTCTCCTCTCTTCACCTCAGGCCTTCCCGTGTACCTCTCTGGTGGGTCTTCCCTCTGCCCCATCAGGCTCTGGCCAGCTCTGCCTTCATGGCCTCAGTCCTCTTGGAAAGGGGCCTCACCCTTGCTGAGAATATGTTATCCTCAGAGGGCCTGGATCTCACCTGCCTGTGCCCTCCTCCTTGCCCCCCACACCTCGCTGAGCTGCCACTGTGACACCTTCACAAGGCCTTCTCCAGAGAGAGTCTGGAAGCCCAGGGACATGCAGGGGTGATGGGGGCATGACCAGCATTGCCCCCGCCTCCAGACGGAGGTCTGGCCAGGGTCCTGCACAGACTGGCCCCAACCTGCCACCTCGGTCCCCAGGGCGCCCTTTGTTCAGGAGAACCTGTTGATGTACACCAAGCTGTTTGTGGCCTTCCTGAACCGCGCACTCCACACAGACCTGGTCAGCCCCAAGAACACTCTCATGGTGTTCCGAGTGGCCAAAGTCTTCGCCCAGCCCAACCTGGCTGAAATGATCCAGAAAGGTAAGTCCTCAGCCCGGGGCCAGGCAGACAGGCCCTGCCCTGGCCAAACCGGGGCCTGGCCCTTAGCTGCGAGGAAGCAGTGTGTCCGCGGCTCCCAGGACAAAGCGGGTGAACATGTGCAGGGTGGAGTCTGAGACTAGCTGAGCCCCTTCCCTGTGGCTGCTGCATGCTGGGTGGAGGCTGCAGGGAGAGAGGGGCTGCAGAGCCATGAGCCAAGCCTCCTCTGCAAGCCCTGATTCTCCCTGGAACTCGTGGCAGTGTCAGGAGGTGATCTTCTTGATCCCTGTTATGCTTTTGTCTTGGCTTTGTTGAGTGTCAGCTTCTCTTGGCCTTTGTCTCCCTGTCAACACTGCCACGTCCCACCTACTGCATGGGAGACACTGCTAGGCAGGGCCTTGGGTGGGCCACTGCTCCTCAGAAATGGCGGCCAGTACTCTGTGCCCCTGGAAGTAGGTGCCGGGCGTCTGTGGACTTGTGTCCTACCTTCCAGGTGAGCAACTGTTCCTGGAGCCAGAGCTCGGCATCCCCCACCGCCAGCACCGACTCTTCATGGCTCCCACACTCACTGGCAGCTTCTTGTCGCCCTGGCCGCCGGTGGTCACCGATGCCTCCTTCAAGGTGAAGAGCCACGTCTACAGCCTAGAGAGCCAGGACTGCAAGTACACCCCGACGTTCAGGCCCGAGGTCCGCACCCTGGTGAGTTGGTCAGCAGTGCCGAGCTCGGGGGCCCTGAGGCTATAGGGACCAGCAGAGCCGGGGATGGTGCCCACATTTCAGGACAGAGAGGAGGAAGTGTGAGTGTCAAGTTGACACTACTGCACATCCCCCCCTTTCTATTTCCAGGAAAATATAATTTCTTTCTGATAGCAAAGGCAGTGTTTGTTGGGAAATTTTCCCTTTCGAAAGCCCATCCGTTAGTCTCTAAAAGTCCCCCTGATGGCCGGGTGTGGTGGCTCACACCTGTAATCCCCGTGCTTTGGGAGGCTGAGGCCAGAGGATCGCTTGAGGCCAGGAGTTGGAGGCTGCAGTGAGCTATGATCACACCACTGCACTCCAGCCTGGGTCACAGAGTGAGACTCTGTCTCTTCAAAAAATTAAATTAAATTAATTAATTAAAATGAAATTAACAAAAGTCCTCACTCAGAAGCCACCCTTCCTGGTTGCTCACACTCCTCTTGGGGTGCCCTGGGGCCACAGTGCATGGGTGGCAGCACATGCCCATGCTGTCAGTGGCGGGGTGCAGGAGCGTCTGAGCAAGTCAGCTGACCTGCCCGTGCACCCGCAGGTCCTACACCTCGCTCGGCTCATCACACAGGCCAAGCAGACTGCCAAGTCCATCTCTGACCAGTGCATGGAGAGCCCAGGTGGCTCCTCTTTCCTGTCGTGGCTGGGCTTCAGCCCCATGGATACCAACTGCCCCTACCCCACCAACGACCTGGACGAGATGGGGCAGGACAGTGTCCGAAAGACAGATGAGTACCTAGAGAAGGCCCTGGAGTACCTGCGCCAGGTATTTTGGGTACAAGCAGTGGGGCCTGCCCAAGGGCCATTGGAGTCCCCTTTCCCAAGGGATCCACTCTCTGCCTAGCCCATGCCAGGCCCCTTGCAGATGGACCTGGGCCTGGGAGGCAGGCCCATACCTGGAGTGTTGTGTCTGGGTCCCTTCACCATAGCTGGTAGAGGCCAGTGGGGTGAAAACCAGGCCTCTGCCTTCACCTCGAAATTGAAAGTAGAGGCATTTCTCTGACAGCTCAGCGAAACCCAGCTCACCCAGCTCACCCAGCTCACACTCGCCTTGGGGACCACTCAGGATGAGAATGGAAAGAAGCAGCTCCCAGACTGCATCGTGGCTGAGGATGGACTCATCCTCACGCCCCTGGGCTGGTACCAGGTGAGGGACTGTGTCTTGGAGGCGTCCGGCTGGGCCTTCTGACCTGGCCTGGACTCCCTCTGCCCCAGTGAGCAGAGAGGGCTCTTTTGGGTTGTTTATAAGGATGTATTTAATATCTTCTGACCTGTCCCTGTGGCCTCGGTTTCTAGATCATCAACGGGCTGCAAAGGTTTGAAATCGAGTACCGGGGGACTCGGAGCTGCAGCCCATCCGGAGCTATGAGATCACCTGCCTGGTCAGTGCTCTCTTCCGGCTGTCGTCCACCATCAACCGCAGAGTGAGTGGGCGGCAGGGTTGGCCTGGCCTCTTCCAGAAACGGGTTCCAGAGGACGGTCCTGCCCAGCAGCCCCTCGCCTCAGCACTCCCGTTCCATCTGAAAGCCTGGGGCAAGTCTGGGTGGAGAGTAGCCCTTGGGAGAGTTTGTCCTGAGCCCCGGGGTGGCCTGTGAAGTGCCTCCTACCGTCCCCACCCCACCTGAGTCTCTGTGTTTCAATTTGCAGGTCACATGGTAGCTCTGTGCTCCTCCAATGACTTCCTTGGCAGCTTTTGTCGCTACCACCTCACGGAGCCAGTGCTGGCCAACAGGCACCTGCTGAGCCCGATGGGGCGGAGGCATGCAGCCAGCCAGGCCCGGGGCCCCAGGCTCAGCCTGCGCTTCCTGGGCAGTTACTGGATGCTGCTCTCACTCCTGCTGGCCTTCTTTGTGGCCTATCTGTTCCCAGGTAGGGCCCCTGCTGTGCACCCTGCTCCTCGTCCTGGGCTACATCCTCTACGCCATGGCCATGACAGTGCTGACCAAGCGGGGCAAGCTGCATCCGCTCTGACGGATTGGCCGCTGTCTCCACAGCAGACTGGGGGGTTTGCCTGGGAGGCCACTTCCAAGCTAGAACCTGCTCATCTTTGGGCTTCCAATGGGTGTTTTCCTGGAAGAAAACTGGAGTCATCCAGAAGAAACTGAACTGAGAAGGGAGAACAGTAGAGGCATGGCAAGGAAGGGGGTGGCAGCACAGGGCATGTGAGCTGTGCCGTGTGACAGCCCAGCTGCAAGCCCCTCCCTCTCAGCCCGAGGACCTGCAGCTGAGCACGAGTCCTTTTTTCAGTAACCGTTTTAGCAGTTTCCTGTGCAAAGCTGAGGAGCTAGTGTGCCAGCTCCGGCCTGTCCTCCCTGGCCCTGGAGGGCAGCCCCCTTCCCTCTGGCTGTCTCTGAAGTGGGCAGAGTGGGTTTCGATGCCTCCTCCCCCCATGTGGTGCCACAATGGTGGCTCCATCTTCTCCAGGGAGGAATCGAAGTTTCTAAAAGGGAGTCCTGAGAAAACTAGAGGGTGGCACTCCTCTGATTCCTAATACAAAGCTAAATTTCGCCACCACGTTTGGCAAAGTGCGGGTCTGTCTTCATGTTCTCCCGGCCATTCCAAGACTGGGCCATAGAATTCCACCTTGGAGGAGCCGAGGATCCTCTCGGAGCACAGGCCATGAGCAGGTGACCCAGTGCCCAGCGTTGCTGCCCGCCATACCTCGTCACAGATGGGCGCTGGTCCTCAGGCATGGGGGACACTGCGAGGTCCATGGGTTGGATCGTACCAGCTTCTGTTCTACAACCGAAGATGGTCAAAATTCTTGTTTGTATCTTCAGTAAAATCAAGTGCGAAAAGACAATGACCTTTTGATAACACTTAGTGTTCCAAACGTACAACAATTACACGTTCACTGTCTTAAAATAAATCCCCACAGGGTGTCACACACCTACAGAGTCATCCTGCAGGTGACAGCAGGGAGAATGGCGCCTCAATGGTGAGTTTTAAACCAGCCTTTGTTTTTGCTATGTAGGGTTTTTAGGTTTTTTTGTAACATTTTTCAAATCGTAAACGTTGGACTTTGTATTTCAATGTACACTCAGAGTAATGGCATTTGGGAGCCTATGACCAAAAATCAAACAAAACTTGTAACTGGCCATGGATCTGAATAAACCTGTTCTTGCTTCCAAGTTTTCCAGCGCCTCTGCTGGATCTCTGGTCAGGGCCCCACACGGGGCCCCCGAGCACTCGCCACCTGCAGAAATGGCCGCTGGACACCCCTTTGTCCCTTCGCCCCAGAGTCTTCCAGCCTGGTTGTCATTTGTGCTCCTCGCCCAGGGGCACGGTCAGCTCACTCACAGCAGCAACGTCGAGGCGCCTGTTAGCACTGCGCTGCCTGGACGAGAAGAGTGGGGGCCCCGGGAGCCCGGCCCGTGCTGGCTCTGAGCCTTTGAGTTTTGTCTTCTCATCGACAGATCAGAATTGGCCTTAAAGTCAAAATCTGACCGTGTGGGACATGTGTGGCCTGTCTGTGGCTTAACAAATGACTGGCTTTTGTTGCCGGTCTCATGAAATCAAAAACAAGGGATATGAGCGATCTGGGGGGATGGTCCCCCATCCCCGCCTACTGGGCTCAGCTCCCCCCAACACCCTCTTGCTGACATTTCTCTCTTCTGCCCTTGTTTTCTTCACCTGAAAACCCTGTCAGAGCTTCAACCCCCTGAAAACAAAAGCACAACACTCCATCTCTCCTGGGCTGTGCTGGCGACAGGGTGGGACACAGGGCAAGCCCCTGCCTTGGGGGCCTGGGCAGTGAGTCACCCAGAAAGAACAAAGAACAGCGAAGCCAGTGGCCATGCGTGGGGACCAAGGACTGAGGCGGCTGGAGATGGGGGGGCAGCTGGATTCTGGCTACTTTCCTCCAGGTGGGGGATGGGCACCTCACAGCTAAAATGACCTGGAGTTCACTTTTGCAAAGAGCTCTCGCTGCAGAGTTGAGAAGGGACCGTGGGCAGGAGAGCAGGAGCGAAATACAGCTGGGAGGAGGTTCTGTTAGGGTGGGACGGCCCATGGGCCAGGGGCTGGGGACAGACTGCTGGGGTGGGGGAGGGGAGGGGCAGGGGTCCTGGGGGCAGCAGAGGAAGCGCTGTTAGACATCCAAGGAGGGAGGCTGCCGGCCCGCGGAGGGGTCAGGCTGGAATTGGATTCTTCCTGCGTGTTCTCCCACCCTCACCCGGAGTGGTTTGTGCTGACTCTTCCCACTCACCCCTGGACTTTCTGTATCAGCCACACCCCTGCTGCGAACCGGCCAGATCCAGATGCTTGTCACACCAGGCAGCCTGGGCCTTCTGGCACTGTGGTGGCATTCACTGCAACTCGTGAGAGAAGCACAGCTTCAGGTTCCCGACACCAGCCCTGCCTCTTCCGCCACCTCCACATCCTCCCTGTCCCGGGGCGAGACTGTTCCCCTGGAGCCCCCTCTTGCCCCCTCTCTTCTGAGACCAGCACGTGCTGCCTGGAGGATACACCAACCCCACCCCCCACCTATGACCCAACATGGCTCAGACTCTGATCCCCTTATACAGGTGACCCAAGGGCAGAGGCTCTGTGCAACCAAGAGAAATCTACACCTGTTCCCTGGGTGTCCGAGACTAGTCACATCCTCTGAATGACCTGCCCTCACGAGTAACCCTGACATTTCCAATACAGATGAGACAGGACCCTTACATAGGCACTTCTTTAAAAATCCACAATTCCTACCATCATGGCTTAGTCTACCTTTATCTCTCTTGCTGTATTATAAAGTTTTAATTTATTTATCTATTTTGTTTTCTAATCACTGATCCTCAGGTTTCAGTCCAAACAACTGCTAGGGAGCCTTCCCTCCCCCAGCTCATTTCCAGAGTCTTCCAGGAAAAGCACAGACCCAAGCTGGTGCTTTAATTGGGTAACAAAGAGATGAGGACAGTTGTCTTCTTTTGCCCTCACAAACGGTTTTAGATCTCTCCTGATGTGGAATGTAAATCCTACACTGGCCATCTTACACAGCCAGGAGCTCCAGGGCTCAAAGAATCCTGGGAACGTGGATTCACAGGCGTGAAGATTTCCTCCAGGAAGATCGAATGAACGCTATTTGATGACACAACAAACTGACGATAATCAACAACATGTTAGAGTTTAAAATAAATGAAAGAGTGGAATTGGAATGTTCCTGAGACAGAGAAATGATAAATGACTGAGGTGATGGATACCCCCAAAAACCCTGATTGGATTAATTCCCATTGTACCAAAACATTACATGTACCCTATAAAGATACACAACTATTATACACCCATAATAAATAAAAATAATTTTTTTAATTTAAAAAATAAAACCAACATTCCAAGACAAACTACCGCCGAGGAGGTTGAATTTTATATTTTCTAAATGATCCTTCACAAGTCAAATAAGAAACGGGAGTCCCCTGCATTGATCAACCAGTTAAGCGCCACAGATGACAGAAAACAGCTCCTGAGTCGAAGAGCATCGGCTTCTGACTGGCCACAGACAAAAAGCCTCCCAGCCCTTGGGAACAAATCCAGGCAATTTAGCCTGGCAACCATAGATGGCTGAGCTGGAGGGACACTGGCAATCGGATCGATGCCAATGGATGCCTCTCTGCCAAAAGGACACTGTCCAGTGAGAGTAACTGGATCCAGATGAAGGTCATCCCCCACTGCTCACTGGGATGAAGACACAAGATACAGCATAGTGGGAACCCCAACAAAGGAGGGCCACGGATGCTTTATGTCCTTTGAAGCTCTAGGTGTAAAAACAACAAGCTCCAAAACCAGCCTCTCTTCTCGGTCTTTCAGCTGCTGGTCAGCACGACTGGCAGAGAACTGGCTGATGACACCCCCAGTATACCTTTATGATTACCTCGAACGTGTGCCGGGACTGCTGCCTAAGAACCGGAAGGAACCCTGAACTAGAGGCCCAGGGACACACATACCTGGTGTGTCCCTGGTCTACAATGAGCCCACATCTGAACACGCCACTGGGGAAATACCAGCCAGCAGCCAGTGGGCATGGAACCAGGTTGATTATTCAGAGCCCTCTGCTAACAAGCTCCAAGTCTGGTTCCTTGTAAAGCACTGTCACACTCACTGGGTCAAAAATAACCTCATCAAAAATGAAAGATGGTCGAACTGCCACAAGACACCAGGCTAGGATGTTTCAAAACTGGAGGGAGCCAGAGACCATCAAACATAATCAAGGCTCAGGGTGGTCTATGCAAAGTTGGCCGCCAGGTGGGGTGGCAGGAATGCAGGAAGATGGCTGGCATCTACAAATAGTTTCTTCCCCAGGTCCCCCTGTCTCTGATGAGATAGAATGCATCCAATCCTAAAAGAGGACTGCATAACTACTTGATTGTGACTGTTCCGAAAGGGCGAAGAAATTTAAAATTCAAGGTAACAAGAGTTTTAGTCTATGAACTAATGCATGGCTAGCAAAAAAAAAAAATCATCTGCATTTAAAAAGAAGATAAGAGATGTGACTCACTGGGGTATCTGTCCTCAAGTCTTCCTGCAGTGGGAGACAGCTTAAGCACCCAGCTGGGCATGCACATCCAGAGTTTCAAAAATCTACTGGGGTTGGGGAGGGGGTAGTTCCACTTGCAGAATAGCAGTGTGTACAATATTTAAGATTGGTTGGTTGATTTATTGATTGATTGATAGTCTCTGAAAATGGTCTTGCAGGAATATAGCAAATAAATATTTATTCAAGAAAATCAACTAATACTTGGTAAGAACACATGGCATTTCAACCACGACCTGCTCCCTTCCTCCCACTGCCAGCCCAGTGTGACAGAAAGTCCACTCCAGGTAGATGTAGCGAAGAACACAGGGCACCCTCTCCACCCAGCTTCAAGTCGAGGGCTGCAGTGTCTTCCTAGGAGGGCCAATCCATCAGCATTTGCCATCCCGCTCCAGCTAACTGGGCTTGCAGACTAAATTCCAGGTGATCGTGGCTATAGGTTTGGGCCCTCTTCTTCTACTCAGCCCCCACTTGTGGGACAGAGGCTCTGCCTTGGGTGCACCATACTGAGAATAGTGGGACATCTGTCACCCTTGCCCTGGCTCCTTTGTAAAGCACAGGTTCCATGCTATGCGAAGCAAGGTGAGAATAGCAGAGTCCCTCCAATAAGCACCTAGCTCCTAAAGCAAACGTGTCACTCAGAAAGAAGCAACCACTGTCCCCAACCCCAGCCACAGTGCCATAGCTCAACAGTTCTGAGATTTTTCCCAAGAGGAAAGGCAGAACATAAAACACAGAGCTCCGAAGCCCACCCCAAATGAACCTGGATGGAACTGGAGACCATTATGCTAAGTGAAGTACCTCAGGGATGGAAAAACAAATATCCCATGTTCTCACTTACAAGTGTGAGCTAAACAAGGTGTATATATAGTCATAAAGTTGTGTAATGAACATTGAAAACTAAGAAGGGGGAAGGTGAGAGGGGCTGAGGGATAAAAATCTACCTGTCGGACACCATGTACACTATTCTGGTGATGGGTACATTAAAATCCCTTCCTTCAGCATTATACAGTTCATCCATGTAACAAAAAAACTTGTATCCCCTAAATCTATTGAAATGAAAAAGATGTATACTATAAGCCTTGAAGCAACTACTGAGATAACACAACGAGGAGTTATAGTTAATAAGCTAACAAAGGAGATAAAATGAAAGCGCAAGTACACACACACATGCGCACCAATTAATCCAAAAGAAGAAAGAAAAAGAGAAAAAAGAACATATGGGACAAATAGAAAAGAAACAGCAAAATGGTATATTTAAACACAACTATATCAGTACTCACATAAGTGTAAATGATCTGAATATGCTAATTAAAAGATTAACCGATTTAAAAAAAAAGCAAGACCCAACTATTTGCTAGCTATAAAAACCTCGCCATAAATATAAAAATACAAATAAGCTAAA